TGACGTCATCTATAAAGTTTGGTTCCCTGCTAGCCTACATTTGATAACCTCAGTGACAGGGTTGGCCACCAGTTGTGGTGACAGATAACTAACAGCACCTGTCAGGCAGCACAGGAGGTAACTCGAGAAGTGTCTAATTAAAATGTGGTTTACAGTCAAATCCATGGCAGAGCAATTCATACAGGGTGTGTGTGTGTGTAGCCTAAATGTTTGCTGGTTCTGTATCAGTTCTCATTAGAATAGTGAAGTGGCTGTTTTAGCTGAGAAACTGCCTGGAGTCAGTGTGGTGCTGTTAACACCTGTGTGTGGTTTAAAGGGAAAGGAGAAAAAGCGCTCGATGCCTGCTGTTCTTACCCTCATGAGTTATTCTAGTGAGTGACAGAGAAGCAGACGAGTTCCTCTCACAGTCCAAAGACGTGCTTGTTAGTGAGGTAGCACATACCACATTGTCAATACCTGTATACATTTTTAAGTGATATAAAATACCACATGATGACTTCATTGTCACAGCAGCTCCACGTGGTTATGCTCGCTGGTGCGTACAACACTCATCATCAAAACAATTAGATCACAGGGAGTTGCTTCAGCCTCTTCCAACACAGCAGAATACTTGGAAGAAAACTGTGTTCACCAGGGCTGGACTGGGACAAAAAATCAGCCCGGGCAGTTTGACTAGAGACCGGCCCACCAGGTATTATAGGAAAAATCATAAAGCCTTTGAATGAAAACAAATGTTGTTGTGACAGTGATGTACACTGTCTTGTTGGTATATGTATGATTTCTATACGTTGTACATCAGATAAAAACTTTGGTTGTAAGATTCAGATAATTATTTAATAAAAGCTAGATATTTTAAACGAGAGTAAGAAAGAAAAGTATTTCTTTCCAGCGAACATCAGCTGATACTAGAAATTAATATTAAATAAATTCTAACAGCAGCTGATCAAACGTGCTGCTGTTGTTTAACGCTACAACCGCTGGTTTCCTCTTTCTGGCACAAAGTGGGAGATAAAGAGAGAAAAGCCGATCAGCTGATCATTGATGAGTTTCATGATTGAATGAGAGAAGAAGAGATAGCTGACAGCGTAAAGACAGAGAAAAACTCCAGCTTTGTGTCTTTTTCCATCCTAGCTGAAGTACGGGACAAACTGTGTTCCTTTTCACCTCAATACGAAACGCGTAATATTTTCTCTGAATATGGGACAATTCCGTTTTTTAGGGGATGGTTGGCAACTCTACTAACTAACTTTATGAATAAAATAAAGTTCACCATCAGTAACATCATAGCACCCACCCAGCCGTAGAAACTCTGTCATGCTAGCTATTACGCAGTACGAGTTATTGTAACTGACGGTAAAAAGTCAGCACAACGAAAATAAACTCCACCTAAACTTGGTTTATATCTGACCCAGATAGACTG